ATAAATATATGCCAAATTAAGTAAAAATAGTAAATAAAAAATAAAAAATAAATGATCAATAGTAATAATAATAAAAAAAAAAAAATAAAAAATTAAGGAGAGGTAGAAGGATCTTTACTAGAATTACGATGTATTCTCATATGTTGATTCAAGTTGTCAGATCTTGAAAATCTTTTTTGACACTGTTCATAAGGACATTGATATGCTACATGTATAGAAAAAATAGAAATAAATAAATAAAATCATCTTCATCATTAATAAATAAATAAATAAATCATTTACACAACTTACGTTTTTCATTTGTATGAATGGATCGAATATGTCTTTTAAGATGTTCAGCTCTTTTAAATATTCTATTACAACCTGACATATGGCAAGCAAATGTCCTTTTCTCTTTTTGACTACGAGTAGAATGACGTAAAGTCGCAGTAGTAGTAGTAGTAGTAGTAGTAGTAGTAGTATTATCTTTACCATTACTATTATTGTTATTATTATTATTATTATTATTAATAAATGGTTTTTCTTTTGTTTTTATTAAAGGCGGTAAAGAAGGGGAAGGGAAAGAAGAAGTATGTTGTTGGTAATATGGATGGTAACGAGATATAGGTTGAGGTTGGTGATGAGAGTGAGAGTACGAATGTAGAGGTGATGGTGATTGATAATGTATTACATTTGGTTGATATGTGTAATAAGGTGAAGGGTAAGCTTGAAGTGAAGGCAAAGTATGTTGAAGTTGGTGTTGTTGCTGCGTTGGTAATATAATAGAAGGGGAAAATGAAGTAGAAGAAGACTTGTGTGTCGCTACTTTTGAATTAGATGAGATATTAGTAGAATTATTATCATTATTATTATGGCAAAAGTTAGTAGCGGTAGGAGGAGGGGGAGGAGTAGTTGAATTAATAACACACGATGTCATATTGGTTTATAAAAAATATATATTTATTTTATTTTAAATAAAAGTGAAAGAAGAGTGAAAAATAAAAAAAAGGGAGGGGTGGGTTTTAAAAATTATTTTGAAAACAAAGAGAAATAAATAAATATGTTTACAAGCTCAACATATTTTATATATACTTGTTTATATTAAATGATGATTGGTTAAAAAAATAATAAATAGATATAAACAAGGAGAAAAGTTAAAAAAAAAAAAAAAAAAAAAAAGAAAAAAATAAAAAAAAAAAAAAAAAAGATAGTTTTTTAATATGCAATAAGATATTATTATTATTATAATAATTAAGCGTCTATCTCCTTAACCATTTTTTTACTATAAAACTAAAAAAAGTTACACTAGAAATCAAGTTGCATAAAAAAAAATAAAAAAGAGTGTAAAATCATCACTTTGTTACTTTTATTATTTTAATTAAAAAAAAAGTTGTATATATTTTTTTCATTTAATAATAAAATACTAAACTAATGGACATTATTTATTATTTCAATGAAAAAACAACAAACAAAGAAGTACGATGGATTCATTAATCATGCCTGTATATTTCAAACCCAGTTATTCATTCCAATGGTATGATGAAATCTTTGATAATTACCGGGTAAAATATTAAATAAATAGATAAATAAAAGATATGTCTTTTCTTTATTTACCCATTCATTATTACATTAAGAATTTATTATATGTTTCCTCACTTTAATAACATAAATACATTATAATTATCTAACAAATACTGTTATTAGCATATAAATTATTAAAAAGTTGGATCATTTACTTCTTTTTGGTCACGAGAACAACAAGAGCTCGCTTAGCTCAGTTGGTTAGAGCGTGGTGCTAATAACGCCAAGGTCGGCGGTTCGACCCCGCCAGTGAGCATTTCCTTTTTAATTTTTTGACTTTTAATATCATACCACAATTTGTATTTGTACTAAAAATTAATCATAATTATTCGATTTAATAGTTTTTTAAAAAATATTATTATTTTTTAAAAAACAATTTACATATATATAAAGTGAAAAGGCTTTGTTCCCTCAAGCACCATTTCTTTTAAATAGTCAGATACAAGTTCCTGGATCAATACTTTCCTAATTAGGATTTTTTTTAAAAGAAAAAAATGAGAAGAAAATTGAGAGATATGTTTTTTAAAAATAGTCTGTACATTATATATTCATATTGAAATTCGTATAATCTCAATAATTAAATACCATTTGGTTTATTTAGAATTATAAATTATTAAAAATTTAAAATTCGATCATGTTATCAATAGTTAACTCGATTACTTGAGATTAAAATCCAACACTTAAGTTGATGGATTGGGTTAAAAAGTATTGCGCCATATATCTAATAATGTAAATATTTACCAGAGAGAAAAGGATTGTAAATAGCTACAGTTTGAATAATATAATTAGAAAAAATTGGTTAGGTATGTAGTTGATCAAAGCATTAATCCACTTTATTTTTATATAGGTAAATAAACATAGTTAGGCTGTGTACTGAGTTTAATTTTAATATTTTAAAAGTAAAAAAAAATCTTTTACTCTTTTTCTCTTCCCCGCTTTTTATTTTTACTTTTACTACTATATATTGCTGATTTTTTGATAAATATTGAACAAAATTTGTTTATTTAATAATTTTTTTTTCACTACTTTTTATGGCTTTAAAGATACTTGGGTATATTTTGTAGGTAACGCTGTTTCTTTCTTTTTTTTTTTTACTCTTTTGTCACGTATTATCACTGTTTTTATTTTACTTTAGTTCAAAATTATTGAATATATATGCTTTTTTTATCACTGCTATAGTTTATGAGCATTCATTATATTTTTATACCAAAGTAATGTCTTTCGAGTTAAATATTATTTTACTATTTTTATTTTGAATTGATTATATATAGTAGTATAATGAACTAGTATATAAATATATACATCTATATTCGTTTGTAGTAATAGAATAGGTTTATTAAACTTATAAATATTGTTTTTTCCACTGTTGTTTCATTGTAATCTACGGTATACTTTTGTGATGTTTATTTTTGTTATTTTCTTAATAATAATAATACTAATATATACATATAATAAAGTATAGTGACACTTATCTAAACACATATCTTTTTATCTTTTGATTTGGTGAAAAAGTTTAGCTGATCTTGGGATAATTTTATTTTATCACTTTTACTAATTATAACTTATATTATAGATTATGTATTCTTTTTTATTTTATTTTATTCTTCTTCTTTAATTAATCTATGACATATTTTACGCAATGAAATGAAATTATGATATATTTGATTATGAATATAACAAAGGAATGGTTTTGTTGTGATATTATGGGACTTACCATATGAATTGCTTGTGAAAGTTTGGTATCTTTTCACTGCTCCAATAATGAATAATATTGAAAAAGTAATGGATCAAGTATATTTTCCCAAATGCGAATGTTTGTCTATGTGAGCTATTTAAAATTCACAAGGATGGAAACTTATTAATATACTTGAAGATACCCTTTTGTTATTCAAGATGATATTTTTCTGGTATTCATAATGGCGATTTTTATTATTCATGACAATTTTATTTTTAAAAAAATACCAATCGTCTAATTTATAATATAAAATTATCGGGTTCTATTATGCCAATTTATTCGCTTTTAAATATAATATGTGTTATTTTTTTAAAAAAAATATGAAAGAAATAATTTAAAACGTTTTTTATTTTATGCATTATTATCTTTGCATCAACATACAATAGATCTAATAAAATAGCACAAGTTCAGCTTAATAGATTCGCACTATATTCTCTCCATAATTTTTTTATGATTATATTATTTTTTTTTATCATACATAAATCAGTTTTCCCTAATAATTAATGAACTATATAGTTTACAATGATATTTGAAAAATATTCTTTTTTTTATGTACATAACTAAAAAAAATTAAATATTAGAAGAAAAGGAATAAAAGAAAGAAAAAAAAAATGAAAACGAACTTGTATCGTGGTGTAACGAAAAAAAGGAAAATAATATATATATATGTAAATCAAGTGATATATAATTATATGTAAAAAAAGAGAGATAGGAAAAATAGGTTATGATGACAGATTTAATGAAAGATGATCAATATTTAACATAATATATATAAAACTATGTTGCAATACTAAGGGTTTCCATTATTTTTATATGGAGTTGCTGCAACTTGTCTTGCCCATCGTTCTAAATCTACTTTTTCATTTTTTGCTGAAATTAAATATGAATGTTTCTATTATTAATGTATATATAAAGGTTAGTATAAAGTTTATTTTTATTTTTTTATTATTATATTATTATATTTTTTTTTAAAAAATTATGTTTTATAACTTACCATTAAATCACTTGGAGTAGCTCTATTATTTACATCTTTAATCAAACTATAGAATAATAATAATAATAATAATCAATAACATCGTAAATATAAACATACATACATACATATATATTAATATACATATAATTACCATAAACCAATAAATGAACTTAAATCTTCAGGATATTTTCCAGGAGGGAAGGTTGGTACAGGTTCGTTAACAATATGTTGTAATAATTCAAAAATAGATAAGGGTGTACCATCAGCTGGGAAAGGAAATTTCGCTAACACCAATTCCATAATTGTAATTCCTAAAGACCAAACATCAGATTTGACAGAATAAGGTGATCCACGAATACGTTCAGGCTATACATGTTTAAGAAATAAAATAAAATAAATCAACCAACGGATATTTTTTTTTCTTTCTTTCTTTTTTATTTTCTATATAATAACTTACACTCATATATGAACTTGTACCAACAAAAGTATCTGCTACTGAGTTAATAAGTTGACCGGACACACCAAAATCACATAACTTAATTTGACCCTGGGAGTTTACCAATACATTGGATGGCTTTAAATCTAAATTATTGAATCAAATATATAAATATATATAAATGAAATTAATATATAAATGTGTCTATTTTCCAATATATATACATATATACATATATATATATATATATATATATATATATATATATTTATAAATTCATCTATTTTCTAAAAAGAGTATGTTACCTCTATGGATAATACGATGAGCATCATATAAATATATTAAACCATCTACAATCTAAAATAAAAATAAAAATATAATGATAGTAATAAAATAAATAAATAAGTATATGTCTGTGTAACTAATGGATGATGTACATTATATATATTTAGGGTTTTTTTTCCCTCTTTTACACTCTGTATATTGTATATTAACTAATTGTATAACACTTACAGCATAAGCAATTTTTCCTACTACTGGTAAAGGAATTGGTCCACATCGTTTATAAATTGCATCTAGAGAGCTATATATAATAATAATAATAATAATAATGTTGATGATGGTGATGATGGTGGTAATAATAGAAATTATATATTAGTACCTTGTATATATATATAAATCTTTTAAAAATCATTGACTTTATTATTTTTATTTACCCAACTTCCATATATTCCATACAAATTGATATATCATCACCTTGCATAAATGCACCATAATAACTAACGATATGTTTAGAGTTACAGTCGTGTAAGAATTGCATTTCTCGCATAATTTGTTTTCGTACATTAGCATTAGCTTGTATATGAATAATCTATTGAAAATATTTAAAAAGAAGAATGATGATATTTATTATAGTGTAATCCTTTGTATTTCCTTTTTTTTTTTTTTTTTTTTTTTTTGGTATTTCAAAATAAATATACTAAAAGTATATATAGCCTTATTTTTTTCTTTTAGTAAAATATCCATTATATATTTATATATATATATGTCTCTATCTTTACCTTTCTAGCCATAACAGTTTGAGTTCTTACATGTAAAACTTTACAAACCGTACCACCGTTTCCTCGACCAAGTTCATCAACTGTATCAAAATCTTCAGGTCTCAAGTCCAGTCTTAGTTCAAGTCCGATTTCAAGATCATTTAATTGGTTGCATACTTTATTATAGTCATCTTTTGGTTTAGCTTCGTTTGAGTTGGATGATGCACTAACAACAACGGGTGAATCTGAAAGTTTTAAGTTTTTAAAATTACGTTTCTTTCTTAAAGGAGCTTTTGATAACATTGATGATTAATACTAAACTATATTTGTATATTAAAATATATTTTATGTCTGTTTATTGTATATCTTATATAAAGTATAATGTTCTAACTCTTTTAACAAGATAAAAGTTATAAATATATATATATGTATATATATATATATGTAAATGTATATAAATAAATAAAATAGATGAGTATAAAAAAAAGAAAATAGAAAGAAAAAGAAAATAATACTCCTCTACATTTTAATAAAAATTATATTTTTTTAAAACCCAGAAAATAGCGGGTTGGCTGGTTCCAATTTTTTAATACAGTTAGAAGCTTTTTTTTTACTTCTCCCTAAGTAATATTATATATCTATATCCATATATCTATTCATATATCTATTGATATTCCTTCATTTACTATTATTTAAAAATACACATTTTTTTTTATTAAGGTATCAAAATTAGAAAAGATATAATAAAAAAATAAATAAAAAATTATACGTACTATGCAAAAAAATTGTATTTCAAAAAAATAAAATAAACTGAATTAATATAACAGTGGGGTTTTTTTTAAATAAGGTATAATAAAAATGTAACTATATTTATGTATATAAATAGTAATATAATAATAATAATAACATTGGAGATACACATATATATGTGCGTGTATGTTTATACTCCGCGTTATTATTCAAGTAGCTTTTGCATGGATTTCCAAATTTCTAATTTTTGGCGTTCTAAATGTAGTTGTCCTTTTACATAGTCTTTAATAATATTTACCATATCCTTAGAGGTGTTTCT